TCAAGGTATTGGGGGGTACAGAAATAGTTTTATGTGTAAGTCGCTCGAAATAGTCTTTATGCTAGCTGTCGACTACATGATCGTCATGTCAGTCGACACAGCCTACATTTTCGTAATAAGTTTGAAAATAATACACAGATTTTATTATACTCGGTAATAACAAAAACATTTACTATATTGGCATACTGATATATAGTTACGTATATATCAAGGCACATACGAACAGTACTTAAAGCTTACTAGAATCCGTTAGTGTGACCAAGACGCTTTATTTTTATCTTATTACGACGTGTGGTGAGGCACATAGCTTGTAAATGAATCAGAATTTGGCTTCGGTGGAGTCCAAAAATAATTTGGCTTTCTTTTGACCTTGAAACGCTTCTGCCAAAGTTTCATTAACCTGTTCTTGTTTTTATTAATTGCTAATATCCAACATGGCACAATGCCATGATGTATTTGAAAATTGATACTAAGAGCAATGAAACTCTTGTCACTAAAGTGTTATTATTTTACATTACTTTCATTATTCATTTATGTAATCATTAAAAAACAATGTTTTTTAATATAATGTCATTTATAAAATGACTGCGATATTGATAATTATCACAGAAATGAATCAGTAAAACTAAAAACTGACAAAATAAAAACCGTCGAAAGAATCTTATAGAATAAAAATCTAACGTAAGTACTTGCCAAAATTGTAACGGCGTTAGTGTGTTGTAACGAGACAAAGAACGGCTAGACGTCGTTAAAAATAGCGTTGAAGCCGTGTGGGCAGGCTGAAACGATAATAATCTACTTGGTATGTAATGCCATGGCCTCCTAGAAATGGGTTGCGGAACGTTTGGAACGTGGGCGTCCGCTGGTGGAGAATCTGGAGCAGGCAGTTACGATCGCCATGTACTAGGCCAGCATAAAATCGCGAAAGTAGTGCATTGTGAGCAGTGCCATCTATTAATGAAAAGCTACATTACACATTACGTAACTGGTTTCAATAACATAGATTCTTACTTTTCGTTACTAGATGTCTCTGCATGTATTATTATTTCTTATTTATTTTGGTCATACCAGTGTGAAAGTACACAGAATTTCAATGTATTAGAACGGTGTCTATATTATTGTAGAGGTTATTTTAATCGATTCTTAAGCATGTTTACGTAATCCTTAATGAATTTATTATCCCAGAGTAACTCAATATAAATTTAAATGAAGTTAAGTATTTTAATGCATAACTATATTTAAGCTTCAACTTAGACGTAAAGCCCAGTATTTTTTTTAAGTTTATTTTAAAACATTGCCCCTACTTTAGGATAACATTATTCTGTGCCGTAAGGACGTTTTACAAACATAAATTTCACGCGGACAAACACCCAGATGCGAAACAACTATCTGTGGGTCACTCAAATAGTTGTCTCGTGTGGCAATCGAACCCACGATCCGCGACGCCGAAGTCAATACCTTGGCAAGTGCGCCACAAAGTCATCAAATTTTTTAGTGTTTGAAGGTTATTGGCTCATGATGTTATTACTTTATCACGGTAAGTAAATTTAAATTATGCAATAAAACATTTAATTGCTAAATATGTTCTTTTTAAGAATTAAATTTATGTTACCTATTATTATGTTACCATTACATACAAAGGTAAAGCAATAAAAATAAAAATTTTTTATTGCGTTCATTTGTATGTATGGTGCTTCACGTATGGATACGTTTCTTATCAAATAATCAATACATAGGACATTGATAATTTAATTATTGACATGGCAACACTTTAAATGTCTGTACGTGTCATTAAAAAAGTTACTAAGCAATCATTTTTGATATTCTTTCTTAGTTACGTCTAAGAAAGAATAGCAAAAATTATTTCTGCCAAAAATTATTGCCGAAGCTGCGCGGCTGAACGCGAATACATAGGAGCTAATAGTGTGACGGACCATATCATTTAATAATGAGAACTGATTAGGCCTTCGGAGTAGTTCTCATTATTATGGTTTTTGTTCTTCAACTACTGGCGCCATTGCTAAGCTAATGGCTTCGAAGCGTTGAGGGTCGTGTGTTCGATTCCCACACGGGATAAGTATTTGTTTGACACACAAATAAGTGTCCCGGAAATGGGCGTTTGTTTTCCAAGAAGGGCTGACGTCAGCAGGCGGCCGGTCGTAAAAAACATTGTAACATCATTCAAATGTTGTGCCGACCCCACCTAGGTAGCATAAGGGCAGGAGGATGATAATGATGATGATGTTCTTTAACTAAATCAAGTTTTAGTTTTGAACATAAAGACTTATATTCTGAAATATATAAATAGATTTTATTTATTGAGTGACGCTAGAGAATTTCTCAGGCGAACAATATCCCGGATGACAGTCAGAGCGAGATTAGGATGGCTCTTGACCATCATAAGAATAGTAAAGCACTGAGAAGGGATGAAATTACAGTCGAGCTCTGAAAACGGGTGGAGAACCGGTACTTGTGGCCCTTCAGATGCCTTTAATTCCATCCTTCAGGATAGTGCTACACTAGAGACGTGGATCAGAAGTATGGCGGTGCTGTTCTTCAAGAAGGGTGACGGCTCTCATGAAGAAGTATATACCGATATCCCTTCTGAGCCGCCTTGTTCTGTTTCGGCATCTTGAATCGGACTCTCGCTTCGAGATTCGATGACTTCCAGCCTCCTGAACAAGCCAGATTCCGAAAAGGTTTCAGTACCATTGACCACATACACACTCTCCAGAAAGTTACAGAAGATCGAATCTTTTATGACAGGTGTATTTTTGATTTGACGCTACTGGACTAATACAAAAAGCCCATCCAACTGCAGATTGGTGTAAAACAAGGTGATGTCATATCCCTGAAATTCTTTATTCTTTACCGCTGCACTGGAAGATTTTTTAAATGTGTATATTAGATTTATTATATGTATTTTTAGTATAATAAACATCAAAAATGAATACATCACACACCTTAGAATTACCGTCGATAAAGTCATTATATCAGAATCGCTGGAGGATTTTGTTACTATGCGGAGTGACTTGAACATTATCTTCCAAGACCCACCCGTGGGAAGAACCTTAAGAAGAATATGGACAAGACAAAGATCATAACTAATGTACGCCTATACAGGTTGTTGTTGGGAGCGTTATGCTCTATGTGAGTATGTTTAACTTGGACAGTAAGTCCGGTTAGGTAAACTCCAACTTCGACGCAGATGTCAATCGACGAATCAAACTCAAATGGGTAGTGTTCGGGACACTTCAGCATATATCTTCGTCGAATATCTCCTGATGCATAGATAAGACATATATACTGAAATAAAAATATGTCCTGATGTATGAAGGCTGATGTATGAATCTTATGTGAGAAACAATAGTTACCTCAAGGTATCTATTTGTTGTTATATGTCACTGTGCTAAATTTTAAAATAAAAAAGCAGACAATCAGAATTTTTTTCTTCTGCTGATGCAGGATTGGGCAGAGGCCCAACCGGAGAAGTACCACGACCTCACAAAAGACCGGCGTGAAGTGGAAGTGGTATACTATCTACGTATCGTCTGGTGAATGAGGTAGCCGGGGCCCACTTTATTGAAAGTTGGCAACGCATATGCCACCTTACAGGTGTTGCAAATGTCCATATCATTAACACCAAGTGAACTGCCAGGTCGCTTGGCACCTTCTCCGATAAAAAAAATAAATAAATAAGTAAACTAATTATGTTTGGACGCATATTTTCATAACTTATCTGGTCCCAAATTAAGCACATCGTTCTATTGGGTCTCGGTACCTGATGGACATACTTACATACTATTCTTTCGTGAAAAAAATATATATCATAGATATATAAACACCTAGACGCTGGAAAAATATTATAAACTGGCGATTGTCGTAGTGGAAAGTGAATCTGTCTCTTGCGCCAGAGGGTGTAGTTTCAATCCCCACTACCGGAAAAATATTTTGTAATTAACATAATATTTTCCGGTGTCATCTATAACATGTATTTGTTTACAATAGATGAAAAGAACTCTTTAACATGTAGTGGTACATTGTGGAATATAATTATCATGGTCAATTAAGCCGGAACCCTTGTAACTATAAATGCAATTAAAGTAATATACAAAGATATTACTTCAACAGTAGCCCAAGTAAATAATTTGGTAAGTCTATGCCAAGTATTTATTAGAAATGATCAAAAAATTGTATTTACATAATAAAGTGAACAGAAAGCTCTTAGCCCAAAATAGTTACAAATATGCATGACTTATATGCAAAGGTTTTATGTCTATTTAAGTAAATGATTCACCATAATCTTAACTAAGTTTAACAAGTACAAAGTGAGTAGTTACTAATGACACATTTCACACAAAATAATTGAAAATTGAGATGCATTACCTGCATTACCTGGTTGTGCTATCATCCTTTTTTCAATACTATTTATTTACGCAATTGCACATTCAAGTTTATTATTTGGTTTTATATTAATATCGCGTAACTATTTTAAATTGTATTAATACTAAAACTATAACACGGTAAATAGTATTAACTTTATTTGGCATTTCACTAGTTTAAACTTATTGCTTGGAACACGTATTAATCTTCTCATATGTACACTTTTTATATTTACAATTTTTTTATGTCTACCTTAATAGTAGATAAATGTAAATCAAATTAAAGTTATCACTAACTTATAGCACACGTGATTTGACTAGTCAACACAAAACAAATTTAAAATGACTAAATACTGGATTAAAAACTATTTTGGCAGCTGATAAGGGTTACAATTATTAATAAATCTAAAATAGAATATTTATAATAAATTAATAATCTTAAATAGATATATACACTTAAAATTAAGACTAGAATTCATAAAGCTTCATCTTCTTGTTTCATTTGGAATAATATGGAATCAAAATTAGTTTTAACCAACGTGCCAGTATTAAGTAAATGTCTTCTAATGTGTAGAACTGGTGGAATGTCTGATAACTAGCTTTTCTTTATTTAGTTTAAACCAACTCTTCGTAGCTCGAATTGAAGGTTTGTTGCATATCGTCGCTGTCGAAATTCGAGGTATCGTTTGCGCTGGATCCTTTCTGCGCCAGCAATTGATCACACTCATTGAGGCGACCGTGAAGGACGTCGTACACACGTGACATGGAGGCGACCTTCTCTTTGCACGCGGGGTCCGTTTCTATCGCGAAGAGGCGCGAGTCCAGCAGCTTGATAGCGGCCACTATGTAGTTCCTCAGCGTTTTCGCTTTGTGCTCACTGCCTATCCGTTCCAGGAAACCGCAGACCTGCCGTTCGCCGCACAACAGCACGTCCACGTCGTAGGCGAGCGGCGAGTGCTGTCTGTGGAGGTAGGAGATCAAGCGCTTCGCGTACCGCCGGTAAGTGCGGTACGCTTTCCTCTTCCTCGCTCCGAGTTTCCTGCCCATTGTCATCGATTTCTTCATATCGTCGATTATCGCCTTGTAGCCGGCGTCGATTTTCGAATCGAATATGTCGCGCAGCCGTGTCTCGACCGGTTGCAGCTCGTATGGCGCGGGGGACGGCGGCAGCGACGGGGAAGACGGCGGCGGTGACGGTGGCAACGAATTAGGTCTGGCGCTGTCCTCTTCGCTGGATTCGCTGGACACTCTACTAGTGCTGGGACTGCTCTCCGGTGGCGGGTAGGGGCGCGGCCGTGTCCTAGGCCTTTGGGCCCGCGCCGGCCGCGGGGCGGTCCTAGCGTTGTAGGCTGTTAGCACGTTCGCGTCTTGCTCAGTCAGCGGTCTGGCGCGCTGCGTCGCCGACAGCGGTATTATTCTGATCTTGACCAGCGCGTAGCTTTGATGTATTTTCGCCCTGATGCGCGGGTCCTCGTAGTCGGAGCCCCACAGGTCGCGAATGGCGGACTCTTTGAGGTAACGCACTTGGCACAGTTCGCCGTTGAAGAAGCGCTTCCTCTGTTGCTCGTTGAGGGCGTCCCTCTCCGCCCCGGTCAGGCCGTGGATCTTGGTGAGGTGGTCGGGCAGCTTGCCGTACGTGAACCGCGCGCAGTCCTCTATCGGGCACGGGATGTTTGCATGATTTTGTTTCTTCGTGCGCGTCGCTGCCGCCGGCGGCTGGGCGCTCATCTTGTCAGCTAGACGCTGAAACCAAAAGTATTTTGTTTATTAACTGGTTTACGCTATTTAGAATATACTACATAAAGCAAGAGCGTCTTCAATTATTTTAATAGTAGCAGCCTCGTTTAAATACAGCCGTAGTAAATGTTTTTAAGTATATTATAATGTTAGTTATTGTAAAATTATATCGAAAATAACATTTATTTGCTTTTTTGTAAAAGTTAGTGTTTCAAAGTAATAAATCGTTTCTCAAAAATTGTTTGTTCGCGGGTTGACTGTTGTCATAAAATAAATGCTAAATGTGAAAAAGTTATTTAAATATTTTACATTGATAATCCCTTAGTTATTATAACGATAGTAAAACGAAACTTGAAATTTCCTAACCGCACGTAGAATGTTTGTAAAATTAAAATAATGTACGGACACTACTGTTTAATTTTTATTTTAATTCCGGACGTTTCAATCATCTTAGTAAATGCATATCAGAAATAAACAACTGGAAGAATGTCTGAAACTCTACCTTTTCTTGTATTAGTGTATAGAAATAAATATTTAAAAAATAATTTCAAATTTACATTTAAAAAAGATAACATAAATTGAGTATGACTTAAAATTAAAAACTACATTATATTTAAAAATACATAGTTATGCTCAAAACCCAATACTACTGAATGTTCGCAACTACTGCATTTATTTACAATTTTGACACATGTTAAGTTTCCAATCGGAGAAAATACATTTGTAAAATGATTGCCATTAGCAGAATACGAATGGCCGTTTCGTCGAGTCCGGTTAATTTATTTAGACGATGTTTATCGATACGAAGGGTCGCTGTCCGAGTATAATAATTGTGTTGACGGAAGCCCAGGGCTGTTTGCCCAGCGCGGGGCCTCTTGTCCTCCGTTTAATTTATTGAAAACAATTCGACTGCTTCACGGCGGGGCTGCCTTCGTAACCGCTACGAACCAGGTACCTTTACGCCCGGTTTCTGAAACACTGATCATCGTAGAAGTCAACTAATCAGCTGTCATGCTCTTTTAATTGATCATCTTATGATCTAGAAGTCAACTAATCAGCTGTCAAGCTCTTTGTATTGATCATCTTATCAGAGAGCTTAACAATCCTTTTGGCAACTCAAATAACATTTAAAATTCCATTTGAAAGCTGATTAGTGGACTTCTACCATGATCAGTGTTTGAGAAACCGGGCGTTAGTGTAATACGTATGACTGGCTCGTAACAACGTTCGAAACATAAAGAACGTACGAAACGTAAAGTCATTTTGACTCCTCACTCAAATATTCGCTGTCGAAATGGCATTTCGGAACAGGCCTATGTCCTTAATAGAATTGCCTCTGACCGATTGATAAACAATCATTGTTTAAATCAATAGAACGAGTAATGTATGTTTATATTATAGGCGGGAGTTGTCGTATTTTAACACGCTTTAAAAGTAGTGTACCTATGTTATGGCGCTACTGTTCTGAACACTGCTTTTCTTTCGAAAATATCTATGTGATGTTTTGCATATTCTTATGAACGGTACGTACCAAATATCTATAACTGGTTGGTTAGATTTATTTCATTTTAATTAATGTTATTATTTTCTTTCTTTTTAAACATCCACTCTGGCACTAGTTATTTAGTATGAGGGTTACACCGATATGACATAAAATGTTCGTGCCAGCTCGACTGGAGAAATACCACACAGGGCCGACGTGATGTAAAGTATGTATATTTTTCATTTCATTAGTGAGATAAACTCCGGTTACTGGTATCATGCCTATATCTCTGCAATTGTAAATGAAATAACGGTTGTCCCCACTAAGCATCTGGCCACCAGCTCAGGAACCATATTTTAACATAAAAAATATTTCAACGAGATGCTAGTAAGCTTTGCTCAATAAGGGACCTAAGGCTAAGTTAATAAACAAACCATAAAACAGTACAGTGTATATTTTAATGTGAAGTAATAAATACATTGAGGGTGAAGATCTGTGGAAATGGCTTTTCTTTGTGTTAACTGTTAACATGATTTAAGGCCGATATTAATTGTTTTGTTTTAACCTTTAAAAACAAAAAATACGAGTATAGAAACTTATTTCAGTGTTTTTTGACTATTTTCTGTGCGCTGGTTTTAGTTAGAAATTAGGTGGTATATTTTACGATTTACAAGAGATTGATGTTATTCAGGTGTATTTAGTACATGTACTACGAGTAGTTCATATAAAGCCTTTTGCATGACGTTGTGTGTGAACGGAAAAACATTCAATCTCTATCTCTAGAGTTCAATATTTATGTACAAATAATTGAAATTTATAAATTTTTGATTAGAAACGTGTATTGCGGCGAGTCAGACATACTGTTGGCGTGGCGTATACGATAGTATGAAAGACGCAAGTGATGTAAAAAAGAAAAAAAAATATTGAATTTCTAATTTTTGTATAAAATTAATATTTATAAATAATATAATATTTGTTGAATAAACTATTATCTTTTTCTTAAAAAAAAAAACTGAATATTTTGTTTTTGATTATGCTATATTTAGTTTCTTTCATAAAATAACCTTTTATGCATATTATCTGTACAACATAATTTCGATGTTTCATACCTGGCAGGCATTCCGCGAATTCAAATTTTTTAATGCCGAAATTTTTAATGTTGAGTTATTCGTGTAGTAATAATTCGCGCCATCCTATTAAGCATTTCATGGACCAAAGATAACTTCCAGAGTAGGAGACGTTATAACAATGCTTGCAGCACAACGGAGCGGTCTGATTGAGCCAATATTTATTTTGGAAATTAGCTTGTATTGCCAGACGTCTTCGGACGGGGCCCACTCGCGGCATTATAAATAATCTAAATTAAACGATCCTCTAGGGAGCGGCGGCTACGTAGTATCTTGCTATTGTTTAATATTCTTCAATTAATAATTTTGATTAGTCCCGGCTACAGTCCGCGGTAAAGAGAGTATACATTTCGCCGCTTTTTCCACTTTTGCTGCGGCTAATACATAATTTATTGCGCAACATCAATTGAACTCCACTGTAATGTAAATTAGTGGATATAAACGATGAAATTTTGGGTATTATGAATTTACGCGTAAACTAAAACTGTTATGTGAACAGTAAACTGTTTGAAACTGCCCTGCGATTACTTCATTAAAAATGCTTTTCGGGTAAAATATGTTTACTTCTTGTACATCGAACTTATCAAAATTATAATTAAATAAATTTTTGGATCCAGTACTATAAAATACACATTAAATTATTTACGTAAATTACCGCATAACTTTTTAACATAAAACATGGAATTTCAAATTATTTTAATATACGTATAACCAACATGAATGTCCGCAAAATAATATTAAGTAAGAGTACCTGGAGGACCGAACTTTGCTCGGTATTTTTTTTTTGTAACACGTATTTTGGAAATTACATAGATACAAATGACTGAGTAATGAAATATGCATAATATTTTTGGATCTTACCGACGTAATAATAAGAAAATATGAACTGGTGTTTTCACAAAAGAAAGAACTTAAAAAAAAAGACAAAAATAAAATACAAAGAAAGCAATTATCTGGAATAGAAAAAAAAAATAAAAAAAAAATAAGTGTGTAAGTGATCGTGATACGAACCGCGGCCGTCTGTTTTGGGGCCGAGCGACCGAGCTATTATAAATTTTTTTTTGCGGCGAAATTTACCGTCATATTCGAATGATATTTTTCATTCCCTGAAAACAGGGATAAAAGGACATTTTCTAAAAAATTAAACCTAGCTAGATCGATTTTTCGCCCCCGAATCAACGCACATACTAAATTTCATGAAAATCGCTGGAGCCGTTTCCGAGATTCCGATTACATATACATATATATATATACAAGAATTGCTCGTTTAAAGGATAAGATTAAATGAAAAGAGTAAGTCGGTTCCTAGCGTTATTCACATATTACGATTTAAGTATATTAATGTGACCATTTTTTAAACTGTTGTTGTGAAATTGAAAACAGATCACAATTTATAAATTTAAAGTTATACATACACTAACACTCTATGATCGCATCGGTGATCGTTGCCCAGTATCTGTTCTAAAAAATCTGTAAAACAGTCGGGGGACGCGTGTATCGCGTCTTGTAGCTCTCCTAGATACAATATAAACAAATTTGTTTTAATTTATTTCAAAAACTTAAAGCATCTAAGAAAAGGCCGATAGTACATATAACAAATAAATAAGGCAGACGTTGTATAACTAATAAAAATTAGGAAGTAGTTTTAAGCTACATTATCTTAATCTACCTTATAATAGAGATTGTTAAGACAATTGAGCTTTAAGACCCGAACTCTTCAGGTAAAAAGTCAAGCTTCGGTAGGGTTAGGTTCATTACTCTTAATTTCGAACACGGCTTAATTTCCAATATAACTTGACTTTTAGTTTGCTTAACGAAAAAAAAAAAACAGAGCAAATAGAGAAGTGAAGGCATTAGACACCTACTACAACTACATATACATATATTTTGCCGTCGAGGAATTTCACGTTTGGAAGAAGAATTTTTTTGATTTTAAATATTAATATTACCGTTGCTTTAATATTATTTGTTACCAAAAATTTTGTAAAATCAAATACTTTTTTATGTGCAAAGATGTCAAGCGAGCAAGCGGTTCTCACCTAATGTTAAGTAATTACTGCCGCCCATGGATATTAATACCCGAGGGCTTGCAAATGCATTGACAACTTTTAATAATAGTATGAAAAAACTAAAAAACACGTTTTTTTAGATCATCAAAATAAAAAGTAGAAAATAAATTTTAATATTTAAATTATGAATAGTGTTATGAATATTTTTTTTTGTTTTTGTTAATTACACTATTCATAATTTAAATTTATTGAAAAATATTTTAGTTTTTTTAAAACGATTATTTATTTTCTATTTTTTAGCTCTGCTAAGTATAAAAATGTATTTTTTTAATGCGTACTCAGCACAAGGACGCTACCAGGTATCGGATTTGG